GCACCAACTCTCGTTCAGTTGCGTAGTCCAATCAGATGCCTTCGCAAAAGGGATGAAGAAAGGAGACTAGAGAGGGAGCATGTAACCCATTGAATCGAATCACAAGTAACTTTCAAATGAGACGCACGGTTTAGTGCATCAATGTAGTAGACAATTACGATGCCGATAATACAGCGCTTAGTGAGGGGACAGGGATGAATGAACAAGGAGATGGCTGCAAATACTAGCGATTTGGGAACGTAACTGAGGTTCAAAAAACACCCAGTCCGGATATTGGAATGACCAACTGAGGAAAGAACCAGTCTAAAGACGAGTACGCTTAGTTCTCATCACAGTGCGAATGAGTCTTCAATGTTTGTTGATAAATATGGTTCAAATATGTGTTATCACACTGAAACTATCCGTCAGTTTCTTTCCGTCTGTGATACGTCACGTGCAGAGAGGCGACAGTCTATTGCTGCTGGATAACTTCAACCCATGCATTCAAGGTGCTAACCTAATAAGCACAGATGGATTTGGGTTTCGTTGTATCGGCCTAGCAAGTAAGAATGACGCGTATTTCCTCTCAATGCCTGTCACACATGACTTACGAAGAGAAGTAGTCAGCTCTAACTAGTTGACAGTGTGATTACGAGTCGGTCGACGCACACTAAGTGATTGTGCTCATCTGATCGAAGAGATCAATGTGCACCGATGCAAAACGCGCGAAATTCACCTGACAAGTGATAGGAGGAATGCGAGGATGGAAGGAGTAACAGGTTGGCACACACAGACATACATGTGTATACAAACAAACTGTGCGAATAAGCTGCCAGCTACACGTTCTACTGAATGAGAAACGACAATACAGCACTATATGAGAGCAAGAAGTCGAATTTCAATATTTGATCGCATATATATATATATATATATATATATATATATATATATATATATCATTGGCATAATGCCACATGGTTTGGAAAATACAAAAAGCTAACGAAGGGAGAGGGAAAGAAAAACGGTGTTCATGGGAATACAACCACAACAAGTCCGCCATTACGCACGGTCGCTTGTCATAGCAGTGTTTCCAGCTATGCACGTTCCGGATCCTTCACACTCCAGCCAGCGAGCCGCGAGCGCCAGACCACGGCTAACTTTGCCGTTAGCTCCTTCATACTCCTGGCCCAAGTCATAAGTTGGCCACTTTGACTTTGCTTCCAGCTGACTTCTGCGGGCGCGAAGATGGCCCGGCGAAGCAAGCGATGAGTAGGTATGCGAAGAACACGCCCAAGCCACTGAAGTCAGAGCAGAGAAACTATGCTGCTCAGTGGCCTGCTCAGTGGCTGTTTGATGTGAAAATCCCCTGTCGAACATCTTCATTACTAGTGTGATGTTGCCATCGTACACCAGCAATGCTCCGAAGGCAGCGGTGATCAAAAACAGATAACCTCTCAACATTCTTTGCGTGAACAGGTCAAGTCTCGCTCTCACCGTGGCATTGTAAACTCGGCCCTTCAGAGATAGACTCAGATCGCCTCAACGCTAGAGATGGTGGAGATGGGCAAAAGCAACCCGACACCTGAAGACGCGCAAAGAGACCTCAGCCACCAATAGCGCTGAGGCAGCTCCCGAAGTAAACGAACTTGTCTAGCAGTTCCAATGAATGACCTAAACGGGTAAGGGTAGGAGCAGCGCCTAGCCAGTCCTACAGGAAGACCATGCAATGGAAAACAGACACCTGCAACCTACACAGAACATTTTGAGATGCCTATGAGAAACCGCCGATTACGGCGATGTTGTCTGCATACTCTAAATCCCGAAGTCGATCCCCCGGAAGCAGCCCGATGCTGCTGGACTCGCAGTTCTCCAGAATTTCGTCCATAGGGAAATTGAACAAGGAATGGGGTGCTGGGCAACCCTGTCTCAAGCCACTGGTGATACTAAAAAGGGGGCGAAAGTCCGCCGTATACTTGCACTCGGCCCGAGGTTTGAGAGCAGATGGTTTGGAGTAAGGTGACATACCTCTCGGGCACTCCCTTTCTCAGTAGACAAAGCGAGAGAGCAGCTTCGTTGACTGAGTCAAACGTGGCTCGTATGTCTAAGAAGACACCGGTTGTTGGTTGGCTAAATGTTCGACGACGCTCCAGTAGTTGGCGGAGTGTAAAAACGTGATCGATACAACTCCAACCTGAGCGGAACCCAGCTTGTTCTTCATGTATGCTCTGTTCGCGTACCAGAGTGAGACTCATTAAAAACAGAGCTGCCAGTACCTTGGAAGTAACACAGATGAGACCAATCCCTCTGTACTTGGCACAGTCAGTTCGGGTACCCTTTTTGAAGATGGGCACGATATCCGCTAGGTTCCAATCAGAGGGGATAAATCCAGTGACCCAGATCACCTGGATAAGAGAAGTTAACTCCCGAACTAGTGATGGGCCACCATCTTTGAAAAGAGCAGGAGGGAGTTAATCTGGGCCAGGGGCTTTGTAGTGCTTTAAGAGGCGAAGCTCATGGGCAACCTCAGCTTCAGATGGTGATGAAGCGTATACATGCCAGGGACCACTCTGGACTCCAGAATGGGAACTCATTGGTGCTGCTGGCCAATTAAACTGCTACTTGAAATGCTCGGCCCAACGCTCGAGTCAGCGTTTTTGCCAGTGGATTGGCTCACCATTGGTTTCGCATAAAGCTCAGCTTACTGTCGGCCTTTTGGCGCCAGTAGATCGGATCAGAAGGAAAAGCTTACGGAAATTCCCCGAGGTGGCCGCTTGCTCCATCTCAATGACCCGTTGCGTACACCAGACCTCGCGATCTTCTAGGAAAAACTGTTTGAGCTCAGCGTTAGTAGTCTTGCGTAGTGAATGGTATTTAACGCTAGTAGGAATTGTTCGACTGGCTTCGAGAAGTTGGAGGGATCGTGCAGAGATCCAGTCGTTGACAGCACTACTGGTGAAGTCACAGACCAGGGTTGCAGAGCTGTACATGGCGCCGCGAATATGTGTCCAGTGCGTTTCAATGTCTGTGCATGGGGCAGTCTTCAGCCGTAAGGCCAAGCCATCCTGAAATGTGTGAAGAACATTTAGGGCAGAAAACTTAGCTAAGTCAAGCCGTTTCCAGCGACGCTGCTGGGAGCCAGCAAAGCGTAGCGCGATCTTAACAGACACCAGAGCGTGATCCGAAGTGTGATAGGTACTCCAGATTGATTTGCGATTCTGTTCAGCTGAACAACTATCATCTGAACACCGAAGTGCGGTGAATCAATTTGCCACGACTCGCATAGCAAAAAGAATGAAAAATAACAACGACGAGATAGTGGAGTTGGGTGCAAACAGAATCTAAAGAAAATGGAAGCAAGTGCGATAAACTAAGCAGAATGGAACGAAAATTAACGACCAGGTGCAAGAAACCGAAAGCAGGAACGCCAGTGACAGCGCCACGTGCGGGAACATTTTCAGTCATTGGTGAGGACCATCCCGAGCCCAACCCCACACCAGCCTGACCAAGTCTATCAGTTAATTTTTTCATGCCTCCATGACATTTCATGGACTGGACACTTCGCAGTTTCGCTCAATTCGGTGCAATCACGGGGAAATACTTCATGCCGAGGAGGCCAGCCAGCGCACATGTATAGGGCATGGACTTGCCAATGAAAGCGATTAGGATTCAGAAGATATGACAAAAACTGCCAGAATTCGACATTGCTCACCCAGTGTGCGCACTAGACGTGAACAGTTCTACGCAGGCGCCGGTGGTCAAATTCGACGAAGCGTTTAATGTACTCTCCGGGAAATGGCCAGGTCTCTGATACATACAATGACACTGGACTTATCGTAGAATTATACACCCGATCTTTCACTGACAGACTGACATTCTGGTTGGAATTTGGGAAAACCACAAGGGTCTTACTGATACGCGAAGTGACCTCAGTGTTGTGGCCATCAGAGGAGACACAGCTACCAAGATAGGTGAACCGATTCATTACATCTAATGGCTGCGCGGTGAAAGCGAGAAAGGGAAGCCTGTCGGTCCAGTGTTGCAACAGTAATTTACACCTTAAAGATGCAAAGCACACGCCGAAGCGTGTTGTACAGCCAACGCGTCAGACCTGAGGAGAGGTGGGTCGTTCGCACACTCCAGGTTTATCAGTCAATCACCGAGCAAAAAGTTCACTGCAGAAAAGTCTGAAAGAACGGAGGTAAACATGATCATTCGATCAGAAAGTTGAAGAAGAAAGAAGAGATAGGACAACCCTGGCGAATCCCGCTTGACGAGAAGAACTAAGAAGATAGTTTCCTGTAGAACCTTACACGGAATCGTGGTTCACGGTAGACGGACTTCATAATGGAAAGGAATTTAGCTGGCGCACTCTTCGCTGCTATTGTCTCGCTTACTGATGGCTTTCTAGCACACCTGTTCAGGATGAGCTAGAATAACAACCGGCTTTCTCCATATCACGGGACACTGCCACCCATATACATTCCCGATCGATTCGAAGACTCCTTGTCGGACATCGTTTCAAAAGTTACGGATCCGCTGAAACGCCATGCCCATCGGAATCTGTTCCGTGCTTCGATCAAACTGATCGGTGCTTCAGAGATCCGCTTAGTTACGACGTCGCAAACACGCGGTCCTCATTTCATTCACAGTAATACCGACAGTGTGTCTGTGATATAGTACGAGATACATTTGACTTCAGATGGGCGATTGCTGTGTGTTTGAAGTTACGGAGATGTACAGATTTTGTAACGAATTACGCCAATCAAATGCGACGCAGGGTTCGTCGAGATAGTTTCCTACACAGAATCAGCATCACACATGTTGGCACCCTGTATTAGTTGGACAGCAGCATTACGGATGAAATGGTCCTCAACACCGAAAAGCATTGCGCTTCGGACGTTGCCAATAGGTACATAGGTGGAGGCGGATGTGGACAAACATCGTGTGCAAGATATGCAAGTAAGTTCACATACACAGATACACATTTACAACAGATCTAGGAAAAGCATGCAAGAACTTACCAAGAGAGTTTCTTATTTCCGGTACCTTATGGGTTGATGTTAGTGGCATGTAGGTAAATTCTTGGTCACACCGAAGACGGCCGTGGTTAATCGTCTCCAGCTCAATCCAACATGTGCCTGTAGGACGCTCAGGCATGACAATGCGCAGATCGACAACACCGGCGTCGTCCACACCTTCTGAGTCGTCGAAGTACCAATCTTGTCTAGGGACAACGTATCCATCCACTAGAATGGAAGCATAGCGCATCACCTCCTGCGTCAATCCGGTACAGCGAACAGTCACTTCAACGCCACCTGTGTATCAAATAAGCGGGTGTTATTACGATTAATGTTAGTACCAATAATACTGACTGAATAAAGATAGATGAGTAGACCGCTGACTAGAGACAGAACCAAAAATGCTCAGACACAAAGAGTTAAATGGTGAGGTTGAAATGGGAATATGTGAACAAAAGTCAACTGGCCATCCCTGGAAGACTAAATTAATATATGGTGTATGCAGTTACATGCAGTAATCCATATGACATAGAAAATGTGTCCCAACCCTTCGAGTTACCAACTTAGCATATGTCGGCCGCATATGCGCAACATATCTACCCACTGTAGTTGTTACACAAGAACTCACCATTCCTTTCCCCATGATCCTATCAAAGTCACACTCACTCCCCACCCCAAATTTGCTCCCCTACTTTCTGGTGTAACTTCTACTTAATGTAGAAGCAGTCAGTATTGACAATGGACCGGTTGCACTGCTGCGTCACACTCCTATCTTAGTACGACTCAATTGTGGATCGAGCTCGCTCAATGGAAATAAGCGAAGTAAAGGTTACATCTCGTGAGTTCAAACGCTGTTCTCCACGGTAGATGCATCTTATGACTGCCAAGTTTATCAATTCACTCTGGATTTTTAGCCCGCTTAGTTGATATTACATTGACTACTCAAGGATAGAAACACAGACAATCTCCATGAGGACTTGTCTTCTAACCTCTCGAAAGAATTTACGGATACCACAAATGTTTGACTGAAGTTAGGAATATTACTCCAGATTACTCTAACCTGGTACCATCTCACACACAGAGTGCACTCAATACTGTCATTTTAAAGTTAGTATGATTGGTTATATCATTTGGGCGCATGCAATTTCCCCTTAAAACCCCACAAGGAAAACTATGTTCAGGTTTCCAGTTCCCATTTTTATGTTGTGTATGATACAGAAGGCATGTAATTTGTGTCAAACCAAGAGGGATGAATGCACGAATCGGCGGTCAAACGTTGGTCACTCTAGCGGCTTGACTCCTGGTCCACATTACAGTAATTGAATGTGAACAACCAAGTGTCTAACAATGATGCCTGACTCAGACTAATGTTCCTACACCCCAGACTCTGTACAACAGTCAAATCTTACCAAGAAGACTGCTGCTTGTTCAGTTAACACTATTATTTCGAGGCTCCAAAACAGCATCTTGGGAGTCATGGACACAAACCAATAGCACATCAGCCTCGAACAACGCTTGTGAATTCATTAGATACATCCGTGAACAGCCAGCTTACCAGTAGTAGGGCAAGAAGTGGGCTTGACGGACAAAAGTGCAGGTTTTAATCCGGAAGAATTTGGCTTTGGGGAGTCACTGTCACCCACACGAATCGCCGTCTTGTCTTCTCGCTGTCGGTTCGAATCGGCGTTCGAGGTAGAAAGGTGACTTCGGACCGAAGAAGAATGTTCATCCGGTGGTTTGTTGACAAAGGGGGAGTATGCACTACGCGTGTGGGATGAGACGCGCGACAAATTTACATTCAGCTGACGATCGTCGTGATACAGCTCACTTCCAGTTAAGTCACTAGAGGCTCCGAGAACACTGCCATCGTGATCATGAGAAAGTGAATCGCAAGTGCTTTGAGAGTTTCCTCCATCTGAAACAGTAAGGAAGGATTGCAGTACGTTTCCAAAGATGGGCTAAAAGTATATAGGAAATATTTCAGTAGACTGATTGCATGAATAATAGCAATTATCTGATGTAAAACAGATGTAGAGCCATAGAAGACCAAAGAATGAGCTCACACAAAAATCACAAAGTGGGAAACAGCCAGAGTGGTTTTTGCGTCTTTCACAAATCGTTTTGTCTGATTTCGTAAGTTTAGTGAGTACGGCTTTGATAAAGAGAATCAATGCACTAATTCATGCAGATCTCTCATTGTCTCTGTTTCCGCGCCATATGCTAGATCTTCAACAAGCGGTGTATTTCATCATTTAATCCCCAACACGGAAGACGTACGGAATGGACAACAGCAAGACTGAAAGTCAGCGCCATGCGAGGAGTTTACCACCGCACGAGTTCTTCTAGCGCGGCCATGCGTGAGCGAATAGAGTTCGACATTGTAAACACTTACACAGCATGATTAGGACGTAATCTAGCCACCTCAGTTAGCGCAGCTGTATTAGCTTGTCCAGGAGGAAGCCCGTATTACCTAAGACGCGAAGTCTAACATCGTCGTTGTAACCGTGGTGTTCCAACCACACTCGAGCTATCCTCAGTAGACAACAGTTGCCAAAGGCCGAAATCTGACGTAAGGCATTTACACGGATAAGTCAGAACTCACTTTAGTACAACAGTACAGTCATTGTAGACCATGTGTTTTATTAGTGAAACGACACGACGAGGCCCCAGATCCCTCAGATTAGAGAAAGATGATCGAACTTGGACAATACCAAGAGAAATCTCTCTTCCAATGATGCCACTAGCAGAAACGCAGCTCCCAAGGTAAGATGAAGCTATCCACTTGTTTAAGTTGTGCCTACAGGAATCCTAATGGGGCAAGTGGATGTCAATCCTAAAGTAGGACCATACATTTCGTTGGGGCGATGGTCATGTCACACGTGGTAGCTTCAATCACCAAGCGGTTTAGAATGACCTGAATACCCTGTGGTGGGTCGTCACCAAGCAAAGCAATATCATCAGCGTAATCCAAATCAGTCGCGCAGTTGTCTGGAAGAAGATCTACGACAGTACCCCGCAGATCTTCCAGAGTGTTTAATAAAACATCCGCAATCACAAAGTTAAAGAGAAACGGGGACATGCGGCATCCCTGTACAATACTATGTGATGGCGAAAGGTGAAGAGAGCTTAACTTAAGCCCCCCATTCTGCCAGACGTCGTTTGAAGGATGACGGCATTCTTTTCGGGCACCCCATTCTTTTGCAGACAACATCATAAAGCAGGTTGTTCGACCGAATCACATAGCACGGATGTCCAAAAAGCCGGCGATGGTAGACTGGTGGTAAAAGTGACCTTGTTCGAGGGGTTTGCGGAGCGTAAACATGCGGTCAACACACAGACGACGATGGAGGAAACTAGTCTTTTCTTTACGGGAGTGCAGGTCTTGAGTCAATGTTAGCCTGCGGAGTAGAATGGATGCTGGTAATTTATGGGTGACAGGTAATGGGCTGATTCCTCTGTTTGATGCATAAAGCGCAGACACGCTTATCGAAGATCGGTACGATAATCGACTTGCCCCAAGAGGATGGAACTTATTCACCACATCAAATTTTGGAGAACAGAGCTGTCAACTGGTTGACAATTGCCTCGCCGTCACACTTGAGTAGCTCCAAAGGAAGTCTGTCTGAGCCAGGAGCCTTGAATCGCTTCAAGTGACGAAGCTCAAGGCAGACTTCTCCTTCGGTGGGTGGTTCCAGTGAAATAAGTCAAGGCGCGCAAGTAGGCATACTGGTTCGACAGTACAAAGAAGGATACCAAATGAACTGAGTGTGGAAGTGCTCAGTCCAGTGGTCCGTGCGCCTACGCAAACTAGTGACTGGTAATCCAACAACCTCGCAAATAGCTTCATTGACGCCATATCTTCATTGGCCTGTGGTCCGAATGATCTGGAAAAGCTTTAGAAAATTTCCAGAGAGCTAGTTTTCCATCTCTGAGGCCCGAACTTCGCGAGCGTTCTGCAAGACCTGCTCGAATTGTTGACTCATGTTGCGGAGGACTTCACCGTAGCATGAATCAGCCGAGGCAGCTAGGCAACGGTCACAGTTCGAAAGAACGAACAAATATCTAGTCTCTCAGAGGGCGCCCATTAATACTACAGAATGAATGACCGGAGGAAAGCAACACTTCCTGCAACTAACTCCATTGATGTTCGACGTTTTGAGGTGGGACACTAGCGAACGTATGTGACAGTGAGGATTGTTAAGTTGGCGGAAGGAAGTGGTAAGCTAGCCTGATGATATCCAGGGTACGGTGCGCTTGTCTTGGGGAATCACCAAAGCGCATGTCGATGTCTGCACAGACCTGAAGGTGATCTGAATCGAGGTAAGTGGACCAAATTGATCTGCAATCCAGTACACTGCTCCGTCATCAATAGCTAAATGAAATGTGATCAATTTATGACCACAATCGCGTTGGCGAAGGGGAACCCCAAGTGATGGCATGTCTCCTCGAATGCTTGAATTTCATGCTCGAGAGAAAGAGCCGGTTGTCCTCACATAATGTGAGAAGTCTATCTCCGTTATCAGAGCGACTCTCATCAAGGACATGACGGCAACCAAAATGATGTTCGCATGATAAGTAGCGCCAGACCCGTGCATTGAAGTCTCCGACAAGAAAGAGGAAATCGGATGTTTCAGCTTTACTTTAAAACTGGGGGAGTCCGCGGGAAAGTCTTCCATAACTGATGCACAACTTAAGTCGGATGGAGCGTAGGCTGAAGCCACAAACAAACTGCATCTCGCTGTACAACTTCCGTTGATCCTTAGGAGCCTTGAAGTCGAACCATATGAAATCGGCCGTCAATCGGAAACCAATCGAACACTGAGGCCTCATCTTTTTGACTCAGTGCGATGCCAACACCCGTTACGACAGCTACAGCTGCTTCTACGTCACCAGACAGATACAAGGAATATTTGGTTCCGAGATCAGCAAAGGACGCACACTTAAGTACGATGCAGGAATCCTCTTATCGAGTGCCAGAAAAGCAATAAACATCGACACCCTATTGCCCGATCTGCATGAGGTTTCGTATGTTTATGGCTGCCAGACGAAATGGAGATCTGAGTCGAAGGCGGCCGACTTTCCGGTCCTCTTGGACATCATCGAGACTGGCATGGGAAGCTTCAAAGGAAGCATTGACGAAGGCAAGATTGGCGTGTGATGGAGGTGCGAAGGCAGAGGGGAGCGCAGGAGTAGAATAGAATGACGTGGTAGTAATAGTAACGGGATCCACGCTTCTGATTGTGGTGAAAAGATTATCAAGAAAAATAGGACAGATACAAGTTGGAGTTTATGCGGTTAGTTGCACACCAGTTCACGCCATCCAAATCTGGCCTCATGTGCAGTCACTGGCGCATAGGCTACTAGCTCAATGTCAGACAATATATCAAAAAGGAACATGCACGAAAAGGCGCGATAAGTACAAGTTGTTTTCACTCGATAACCCACAGCGCCGATGAGAGCCTGAATGCATGCAATGTGGCGAGGATCTGTCAAAATAAAATCGCTAACTGAGAGCTGGCTCTACTAGTGAGGAATAAAAGGTGAAGAGAATGGTTAAGCCTAACGCAAAATCTGAGTACCTTAGCCAAGCGTTCAGTAGTACGAAACCCACATTCTGCAAACAGTAATCGGTGAATGACTAGATGGGCATCGTATGTAGGTTGGCTTAGTGAGGCAGTTTCTTTTCAGATGTTGATGTCCTGGCATCATAACCAACCTTGTCTAGAGGGCAGACACATCACCTGCGCCAGTTGTTGGCTGTCCCAGGGTATAGTATATTACGTCAAATGCTGGGTAGGACACAGCAACATCAATCTGAAAGTTAAGATGGGTAAAGCGCACAGGATCTAACGGAGACTTCAAATCACACTGACATATCAATACATGCACATAAAACCCACGGCATGCCGAGTAGTGCAACCACTCTCTAAGCGAAGAGCGGGTATACGTAGCACGTGGCCGAAGCAACTCAATTGCGGAGCTCGAAGACTTAAATTATGGTCAACGTCAGGACTTAAACATGGTGGATACGCATCAAAGGAACAACAGTCGGGTGGAGGCAACAATCGTTTAACTACTCGATTGCTGACAATCTAAGGAAACTCCGGTGGGTTCTGGGAAAAACCGCACAAACGGCAAGCCACAAAAACTAAGGACCTGAGAAACTGCAGCTCGAGATGGTAGGACGAGTTTTGCCAGACACAACCTATAAATGTCGCTAGAATGTACTTACCAGAGTAGAGAACAGATTGGTAAAATACTAGAAAACGGCACGTTGTCGTAGTCCGCTGACGCATCTTTACAACACAGAAGCAGGTTTCTGGCAGCCTAAAGCAAGCGAAGTTGCTGCGTGACTTGATTGCTTCACTTTACGATGCACAGAATCGCTAGGAATCCATGATGCTGTTCATGTGCCGTTTAGTGGTTTATCCTCCTTCAAAGCAAGCAGAAATTTGCGCACTGTGACCACTCATAATGCAGAATGAACCTTAAAAGCCTGTAATTTTCACTTTTCCATGTTGATAATCAATGTGCCATAGTCGAGGAGAAAAACGACACAAGCCATCGTTTATGGACATGAGCGATGTTCATGTACCAAACGTATAAAAGGCACCGGCACTTGGGGGGTGAGGATTGTGTGAGTCACATCAGACGGTCACAAAACTGACGCCTACTGTATATGCAGACATCAGATCACGTAGCGTAGTGGACTGCATTGCTAGCGACTAGAAGGACGCTCTATCTAAGCTCATTTCCTTCATAAACGTGGCTACGCAATCCAGCGATCATCATCATCAGCATCATCGTCAGCAATACACGTTATCTGAAGGGAAAAAACACACTTGAGCTAATGTGCCGAAATGCGAAGAGATATTATGAAAAAGGAGACACAGAACAGTACATAATACAATATAAAATCAAAAGGTAATATGATGCTTTGTGTCATATTAAGCACTAAGTGTGAGGTAGTTGGGCGGGAAAGAGGTGGGAGGGGGAGGGATAGAGGCTCACAAAAAATGCCATTACGGACGGCTCTTCGCCACATCAGCTAGTGAATGCAGCCAAAGGGGTTCATCGTCCTTAAAACCCCAGCCAGGCAGTCGGGAAACATCAATCGACGCCAGGTTTGAAGTGCGAGTCTTCATTCCTCTTGACCTCCTTGTCTCTTCTTCCATCCACACCCCGGTCGCGCAAATAACGTACGATGCGGGAGTCGGTGTCCTATCATGCGCAATGCGTGACCCACCCATCGGATTCTGGTGCGTAAAATAGCGGTACTGAGCGATTCACTCGCTCTTCCTGAACTAAATATACGACGACAAACGTAGTGCTCCCACCAGACATGAGCTAAACTCCGAAGGCAGTGATGGTCGAACGTACCTAAACTCCTCACTTCTGTCGCACTGAGAGAACAGGTTTCGCGACCGTAAACGATGGTTGAATGGACGGCTGCATTGTAAACTTTGTCCTTTAGGGCGAGAATGACGTCACGCCTGTGCCACAGATGGCAGAGACTTGCAAAAGCGCCTCTAGTTTTTGCTATAGGGTGCGTGACCTCTTCTATTCCACAGACACTGATATAACTGCTTAGATACTTGAATTTCTTGACGATTTCTACCTGATCAGTGCTAAGGATCAGCACAGGGGTGGATGCCTGTCAATCTGAGAAAAGGACTTTACATTTCGAGGGTGCAAAGCATAACGCGAAACGACTGACATCCAGAGCTAATTTAGCCAGTGCAGGTTGGCACGTTTGCGAGCTGTGATAGATGAGTGCAATGTTGTTAGCAAACTCCAACTCAAGAAGTCGGTCACCTTGGAGTATCTGCATGCATTGTAGGTCGTGTTTAGCGAACGTTGTCTACGTGACTTCGTCATTGGTGAAGCTAAGGAGGAAAGGTGACAGCGGGAAACCTTGTCTCACACCGCTAGAGATAGTAAAAGGCAAGGGTAGTTTGCCATGAACCCTACGGCCAAGTATGCGCGTACAGCGCTCTTATGATATTTGCATATTTTTCGGGCACACCGTTCCTGAGCAAACAGTTCAAAAGAGCAGGTCAATGCACTGAACGTAATGCATCTTTGATGTCGAGGAACACGACTACGGTGGGTCGCTACTAAACCTGGCGGTGTTCCATCATTGAAAAAGTGCCGACAACTTTCTGGTTAGATAATAACTGGATCCACTCAGCACACCGCCGTTGGAAAAGTCTCGTGCGATGTTCGCTCGAATGTAACAGTAACCGTCTGTCATGCCACGAGAGGGATAGTAGTGGAATAGTGACTACATGCTTGGTTGGAGTTCAAACACTAGAGTGACTAAAGTCATGTTATCCACTACGGAACCAGCTGTACGGACTCAAACAGGAGTATCCTAGAAACGGCAACCAGTATGTGTCAACCACACTAGTATGTTACAGGGGTTTTTCCGGAGACCAACACTGTTGAAAGTAGCATAACAGCAAGTTTACGGGTGAATTACTTAGTCATTAAAATGGAGGAGAGTTTTAGACTCACTGATGCGGTCGAATACCAATGGACGACCTCGGCTGGGTATGGACTGACGTTTGGCAGAAACTGAGATTGACGGACGCTGGGACAAGTCGGCCGCCGATTTGAACACATCTTTCATATGCTTCCGTTTTAAAAGGTAAGGCCTCTTGTCGTCCTTCGAGCCCAGATGACCAGGATCAATACTAAGAACACTGCCACTGTAGTTCAGTGAATCAGCGACGGAAGCATGCTTTTTATCATGTTTCCAACTGCAAACAGTGAAAAACGATTACAAACGAGCCAGATGAGTGTCGCGTTTAACAGGGAGAGTGAGAAAAGTGCCCTCATGAGATGAAGTGGCCACAAGTTAGTGATCATAACCCAGAAGGTATAGTGCAGTGTGTAGAGCTGGTGTAATCGGAGACAAAGTGCAGTGAGAATAAAGAAAAGATACGAAAGTGTTAGCACCAATGGAGTCTTATTAGAGTGATGAAGATGGTAGTGATTTAACGAAGTAATTTCTGTTCATATCTGATAAACAGTGCGACATGTGACACACCGAAAAACTTTTCAGATACCTGTTTAAAGACAGGCTGGGTGTGTTCCTTAGAAAATCCATCGATGAAAGCAATCCACCAATGCTATGTCAACATGACTCAAAGATAGGGAAATAAAATGAGGAAGTGCGATCAAAAGAGCTAAGCAATGCAGGGCAGAAAGAAAACAAGGTACTTTGTTGAAAACAGATCCTGACCATTATAAATTAACAGAGCGGACACACTACGAGATGTTATTCAGCAGATAGTTCCACAATCTCGCGTTAGTTGCAAAATCAACTATATGGCCTGTAGTTCAACCACAGCCAAGGGCTAGCCCACAGCGCATCGCACGTCTAATAGCACGCCGCTAGAAAGAATGACACTGCGTAAAGTGCAACATGAGGGAAAAAGCGAAAAAGCTGATCTAGCAGAGGTCAACCAATAAACAAGAGGCGGGGAACGGATTACAGGGAAGCTGGCTGGATCGAGAAACATGAGGGCGACAACGAAAGCACATAGTCAATAGGCAAAATAATAAACGACAGGAAGGGAGGATAGGAGTTCAATTAATTGCGTCGGAATTGTCAACCGAAAGAGTTTAAAGTTGTAAACAATGGTTAAATACCGTAGTATCATCAGTTTCCATATCGCGCTATTTGTGACACAGACTCTAGCCATGGGAGATGCCTTAAGCAAAAGCACTAGCGCGACAATCTAACCTAATCTTCCTGTTTCAGTGGTACAATCGACCGGGAAATCTGCGGCCTTACTTAACCGACTGTACTGACATCAAGGAACATGTGTCGGTGGAGAATGAATGATATGCGAAGTGTCTGAAACCAGCCAATCGCCTGGCTCCAATTCAACGCATCGCCCTCCATTGTGACAAGAAAGAGTCTGATACCATTCATTCCAGTTTGAATCCCTAATTGGACTCACCAAGCATATACAATGATTTACACACACTAAGGTTCGGAGATAGTCTCTTAATGTCATAAACGTGCTGTGGACATGTCCCCGTTAAGTATATCAACAATAGCGTCTCAAACATAACTATAAATCTAAGAGTAAAAAATGTCTTTCAGTTCAGAAGGTTCCGCCCCTTAAATACAATGAGCGCCTCTTAGTCGCCGCCATTAGAAGTCATTCAGCTCACTAGGAACCGAATCGACCAGGCACTGTAAGTGATAAATGACGAGAATCCAATTCAGTCCAGTTGATCAATTATGTTCGGTGCACTGAAGTACGGTGGGTCCAGTCAACGTGACAAACATCGCCAAGTTAGAATAAAAGTGAATATTTGCACACTTTTCTAGTTAATCTGTGGGAAGTGGAGAAGGTGATGGTTACCACAATTGGTGATGTCAATTTAGTCGCTTCAGTCGGTAACTTGTAGCACATCAGAGAACAGGTGACGGCCGCGGCCGAAGAAATCATTGGATGTTTTGGCGACAGAATACTGGCATGTTGGAACGCGACCCGGATGTCACATTGCAGAACGTCGTTGCTGAAGCTCAGAGGATCATGAATGTAAAGCACGACACAGCTATGGTGGAGGATGCAAAGGTGCATAATGGTGCTCTTACTGTCCAGCAAGTTTCCAGAGGCAACACTTCAGCAAATGAGTATGGGATATATCCACAAGCTAAACCCCCATCTGGTTGCTGGCAATGCGGAGCTGAGTATACCGCGAGGACGCCCACCCCTACGCGGATTCGAACTGGTGACCTTATGGTTGCAAACCAAACGCGCAGACCACTCGACCACCGGCCGACAGACAGAAGAAAGTTTGTCACTATCAGCATCAACGGGCGACTGACGCGTTTGCAAGTTGACACGGCGTCCGACATCACAGTCATTTCGGAAAACTTGTGTAAATCTGTCGATGCACCTGATATTAAACCGACCGACCAACAAGCGAAGAGCGCATCAGGCACCAAGTTGGATCTGATCAGTCAGAATGAGTGCGAGTGCCGCTTTGCTGACTTCGCCGTTTGGGGAACCATTTTCATCATGTCACAAGAATTTGAACTTTCTTGGGTTAGACCGGATCGAACGCTTTAATATCCTAGATATTCACATCAACCAGATATGTGCAAGTGTCCGACTAGACAAACCCAAGGTCCCGAAGACAGTGGCTATCGAACACATACGGGAGAAATATGCAAATGTTTTTGGTGAGGGACTCGGTAAGTGCACGAAGATAAAAGCCTCAATGTCCTTAAAACCCGATGTTGTTCCGATCTTCCGTGCAAAACGCCCAGAAGCTTACGCTGCGCCTCCAATTAGTGACCAGTGACTAAATCGCTTAGAGAAAAACGGGGTTATTCATGCAGTGAACGGCACCGATTGCGGTAGTCAAGAAGCCTAATGACCATATTCGAATATGTGCCGACTTCTCAGCAGGCCTTAATGAAGCACTAGACTCTCAGCAGTACCCTCTGCCAATTCCAGATAATTTGTTTTCGAAACTAAATGAGGATCGTTGTTTTGCAAGACTGGATTTATCGGATGCGTATCTGCAAGTAGAAGTTGATAAGCCCTGAAGAGAAGTACTGGCGGTTAATACGCACCGGGGAGTGTATTAATACCATCGACTTTCGTTCGGAGTCAAGTCCGCGCCAGCAGTAATTCAAAAAATCATGGATACGATGCTGACAGAAGTAGATGGTGCTGCCGCGTAGTAAGTTGACATCATTGTCGTCGGAGTAAATGCAGATCACCTATTCGAAAAGCTTGATCTGGTACTTGATCGTGCACAAAAGTATGGATTCAGGCTGCGCTCCGAAAAGTGCACATTCTTTATGGGCTCTATTATTTTCCTAGGTTGCAAAATCGACAAAGATGGCAGACGCCCGGATCCAATGAATATCGAGGCTATTAGGAAGATGCTCTCTTCTGAAGATGTCCCTAAGTTGATGTCTTACTTAGGACTTATCAATCATTACAGCCAATTTATTCCACACATGCACAAGGTACGTGGACCGCTTAATTAACTACTGACCAAAGACAAAAGCTGGCACTGGTCGGAGGATTGTCAGAAAGGATGCTGAGTTCTGACCTCTTGCTAACTCATTACGACCCTACACTTGAAATCGTGGTGGCGGCAGACGCTTCGAACTACGGCATTGGGGCAGTTATCTCCCACAAGTTCGCTGACGGTTCAGAAAAGCGATTGCACATGCAGCCCGGTCATTGTCACCAGCCGAAAGGAATAACGGGAAGATAGAGAAGGAGGTTTTAGCGATAGTATTTGCAATAAAGAAATTCCACAAAATGTTGTACGGAGGACGGTTCGCCCTACTTAACGACCACAAGCCGCTCTTAGCAATATTCGGTGCGAAGTTTGGTATACTTGTCTACATCGCGAACAGACTACAGCGTTGGGCCACGTCACTACTCCGTTATGAATTTGTAGTGAAGTACACGATTAAAAAGGACATCGGCCAAGCGGATGCACTTTCCCGACTACTGGAAAATCGGCATCACCAGCAGGAAGAGTCCATCATCGCAGCGATCTCCCTAGAATCGGAGGTGAATCAAGTATTGATGGAAAGCTTAAGGAATCTTTCAGTAACGTTAGAAATGGTTCGTGAAGCATCTGCATGAGATTCCATTTTACAGCATGCAACCAAATTCCACACTACTCAGTGGCCAAAAGACAATGTAGCTGGTGAGTTACAAATTTTGTCCAGGAGGAAAGATGAGCTTTCAGTCGTTAATGAGTGATTACTTCTGGCCGAAGGAGTTATCATTCACCAAGAGCTTCGTCAGAGAGTTCTCAAGCAATTTTACCGAGATCATCCTGGAATCAACCGAATGAAAAGTTTCGTCTACTGGCCAAACATTGACTCGGAACTCGAGCAACTGGCAAAGTCATGTCCGAGATGCGCCCTTGTCAGTAAGGCACCCAGAAAGGCCGAACTAGTTTCCTGGCCGATGGCAACTAAACTGCGGAAACGAGTGCAAGCTGATTTCTTTGATTTTGTGAATGGTCAGCAGTATCTGGACGTGGTTGACTCGTTCAGCAAGTGGCCTCGGGTCTTCTGCATGGAGCATACAACAAGCGGGACATCAATTAACGTTCTGAGAAGACATTTCAGTCAGCACGGAATATCTGAAACGTTAGTCACTAATAATAGTTCGCAGTTCGCTTCTTCCTAATTTGCCGAGTTTTGCGCACAGAATGGCATTACGCATCTAGGCTCACCGTCGTTTCATCCCAAGTCAAATGGACAGGCAGAAGGCTTTGTTGACACGTTTGAGCGATCGCTACTGAAGATGAGGGGGAAGGAACTGCACAAGAGATACTGGATGCATTTCTGCTAGTGTATAGATTAACCCCGAACCTCCAGGTGCTAAATCAGTTGTCGCCAGAAGAGGCATTAATGGAATGAAAGCTCCGCACTATAAATTCCTTGATGCTCCCGAGGCGTACTATTCTGCAAGAAAGGAACACTCGAATGGAAAGGTACTACAATGAGCGACCGAGAACTCAAACACGTCAATTTTCCCCAAGAAAACGTGTTTTGGTCAGAGACTATGGCGTTGGAAGTAATCAGTGGGTGATAGGATCGATCCGCAGAGGACTTGGTCGAGTACTCTATATCAGAGTGGGTACTTTGATTTGGACCAGGCGTGTTAATCAGCTGCGACCAACTAGCATTCCGGCAAGCACTACTAATCGACTGATACGGTTAGACATGCTACCAGACAGTTTTGACATACCA